GACACAGTACAGAGGACCATTTGACCCTTAAAAGGGCAGTTGGAGACTTGATTGAAGCTTAAAGAATCGCTTTTAGGATGATGAAGCTCCTGATGTGATGAACAATCTGTTGTCTGCTCATAACACTGGGCCAATAGTCGGAATGATTTGTAAAGATAAGGAATTTGATCCGGCACTGAAGGCTATTGCAGCCATTGCCGAAATAGAAGAAAAGCCGAAAGGCGGTCGCCAAGCCTGAAAGTTCCCCATCAGACGAGAGTCTTGGTAGCCAGTCTTGCTATCATTTCTACGTTCAGATTATCTCAGGGTGTGATCCGGATGTTTTACTTTATTGTCTTACTTTCCAATGTAAACCCTTCTATCTTCAAAAAAAGAAATAAAAAATAAAAAAATCAAATTGAATTCTTTCAGGGATGTCTCTTTTCTTAATTTTGTCATTTTTCTTATTCTCTTTTCAGTTATGGTAAATGCTGATTTCAATAACATGACATGCTTGAAGATTCATGCCCAAATCCGGAAATGATGTGAGACTTTGAAATAATGAATCAAGAATCATATTGCAATGAATAGACGTTTAAAGAAATAAAACAAAGAGTTGGAACAGTTGAAGGAAAATTGGTTCCAGATTGGAAAGGTCCATACATGGTAACAAGAGTACTGCAGTAAGAGAGCGTTGTACATGGGACACATCGAAGAATGTCCCTGAAACAACTGTCGATGCAAATGGAGACGAAAGTAATATGTTGGATCTTTTATACAGCATTAATGATCTTCGGTTGGGATGAAGAAGACTTTCTTTCTTAGTATCTAAATATTCAACCCTTTGAAAACCCTTTGAGCCAGTTACTCTTCTTTGATTACCCTCTTTGCAACCTGAAAGTGTTATAAAAAAAATTGATCGACAAAATGAAATGAAAAATGAAAAAATGATGATGAAAAAAAGAGAAGAAAAGAAATATACAAAAAAGGGGAAGAAAATACAAAGAAAATGAAATGAAAAAAAATGATGAAGAAAAAAGAAAGGAAAAAGGAAAGGAAAAAGAAAGAGTAAACAAAACAAAACAGAAAAACAAAAGAAAAAAAAGTTCCTTGAACTACGTTCGACTTGATTCCGAAAGGATATGTAGGCAGCCTCTCTTTGGGGTTCAGTCACACCAAAATAAAAATCCAAATTCCCCCAAAAGTTGAAACTAGGGCAGAAGTTATAATGGTTCGGCGATGGTTTCGCCTGAAAGGTTCCAAAGTTGTAATTCAATCCAAATTCTTTTTACCCCAAATACCGTTCAAGTCCTTCCGATCAATCGGTAAAAGATGTTCAAAATTGGAGGATACAGTTACTTGGATCTGATACAACAAAATGAGAGAAATAAAATGAGAGAGTCTTATTGGTGAAAACCCACACGGGCACCGTGGGGCGACAGTAAGTAGAGAAATGGAAAATGAGAGAGTCTTGCTAGTGAAAACTCGCAAAGAGCACTATAAGGCGATGGTGAAAAGAGAAATAAGAGAGGTCAGCTCGTGAAAACCCGCAAAGGGATCCCCTAATCGAAAAGAGGATCCCCACAGCCATCGGCATCGAAGGGTCTTGGCATGGTTTCTTGATTTTGAGGTAAGAGTTGTGATGAATTTCTGAGAGTCAGACGGTTTACACAGATCAAACATCTAGTCCAAAAGGCATGTCATGTTCATTGAAGTCCGCATGTACTCCAGATAAATCCTTTTTTCCTTTCCCCGAAAGGGACACTTCTTGTTTTAAACTCATTCTCCATTCCATTGTTTATTTTCTTTGAATCCCTTTCGGTCTATCTCTGTTCTGAAACTAAGACAAAGAAAGGATGGTAAGACTGATTTATAGGGTTCGCATTTGATACAAGCTAATATGCAAAAAGGCACCCAGCCTCGTCAGGGGCATCAAATCAACTTTGACTGGCCATGGCGGTTGATGTTTTGAAATTGAAAAACTCCTGAAAAGAAAGGAAATCAAAGTCAAATGCCCACAAACGCAAAATGAAGTTAAAAAGGTTGAGTCCCACGTGGCTAACCATCTTGACAAAGGTTTGAAAAGCCAAGGTACCCCAAATGAAATTGAAGTTGGAAGAAAGAATCCAAAAATGAAAGGCCTACGAAGGCGAAATAAAGTTGGAAAAGATTAAGCCCCACGTGACTAGCCGTTGCGACAAAGTTTGAGGAGCAAAAAAAAAAAAGAAGAAAAGGCAACAAGTCAGAAGGGAAAGGCCCACAAAGGCGAAATAAAGTTGGAAGCTGAAGTCCCACGTGACCAACCGTCATGGCAAAGTCTGGAAAAATCAGAGGTTCTCCAGGGCCTGAAATGAAATCGGTCCTCAGGGAACAAGCAGTTGTAGTTGAGGTCTTCATCAAAGAAGCTGGGCAGAGATTAAGTGATTGAAACCGTCAAGGCCACAAAACCAACCACCGCTTCAAACTAACAATTGTTCTTTGTTAGAAAACAGGAAACATGTGCAATCCAAAGCAACCTTCCAAGAAGTAGGTGCAACCAAAATGAAACTGCACAAGGGGTAGAAACAGCTTTGCAGCAATAATCAATTCGAAAGGGAAGTCTCTTCCAAATTCTTTCCTGCATTTTTACTCATTTTTTTGAAATAAAAAAAATATAAAAAAAAAGAGAGAAGAAGAAAAATGATGAAAAAGGTCCCACACGGTAGCATAAGGTCCCACTACCTAGCTAATGCCATCATAACCTCGTAATCTTTCTTTTAGGGTCCTAGTCCCTAGTCGATGCCAGCATAACCTGGTAATCTTTTTCAACATAGGGTCCCATTCCCTAGTTGTCTCCGGCATAACCCGAGTACCCTTTTCTTTTTCGGCATAACCCGATGACTTTTCTGGCATAACCTGAGGACCTTTTTCTTTTTGGTATAACCCGATGACTTCCCCGGCATAACCCATGGACCTCCCCGGCATAACTCTAGGACCATTTTCTTTTCGGCATAACCCGATGACTTTCTCGGCATAACCCGTGGACTTCCCCGGCATAACCCGATGACCTTTTTTTTCCAGCATAACCCAATGACTTTTTCGGCATAACCCGTGGACCTCCCTGGCATAACCCGAGGACCTTTTTCTCTTCTGGCATAACTCGATGACTTTCCCACCATAACCATAGACCTCCCCCGGCATAACCCGAGGACCTTTTTCTCTTCCGGCATAACCCAATGACTTTTTTGGCATAACCCGTGGACCTTCCCGGCATAACCCGAGGACTTTTTTTCTTCTCCGACATAACCCGATAACTTTCCCGGCATAACACGTGGACCTCCCCGGCATAACCCGAGGACCTTTTTTCTTTTCCGGCATAACCCGATGACTTTCCCGGCATAACACGTGGACCTCCCCGGCATAACCCGAGGACCTTTTTTCTTTTCCGGCATAACCCGATGACTTTCCCGACATAACTCGTGGACCTTCCCAGCATAACCTGATGACCTTTTTCTCTTCTGGAATAACCCGATGACTTTCCCGGCATAACCCGTGGACCTCCCCAACATAACCCGAGGACCTTTCCAGCATAACCCGATCATTTTTCCAGCATAACTTGGTAATCTTCTCAACTTGGGGCCTCCGATCCCCATTTGATTGCATTTTAGATATGGGGCCTCCACTTCTTAATCTCTTCTTCTTAGGGATACACAATCCCGATTTTAATTGCTTTCAATAAAGAAATAATTTAGATTTTGCTATAATAACTCACAAAATTTTCCTAATGAAAATTGGGGCAGAAAATTTCGTTCGTTTGTTTGCTTTGGTGCCTAAACAGGTTTTCACCGTGAGGCACAAGGTTTGAGATGACCAAAAGAAGAAGTCTCAACCCAAATAAAAGAAAATAAGAATAATAAAAGAAGTTGAACTCTAAGTGTAGAAGCGGAGAAAAGATGCGGACTGCTCAAGATATGATGGAAGTCACAAGTTTTGTGTGTCCCGCCTTGATCCGAAAAGATGAAGAAGAATTAACCAGCGGTTACAGCTAACGAGCATAAAGATTCAGATCAAAATTTGCAGGAAGAACCATCCAAGACTCAAGAACAAGCTTTAGAAGGTTTATAGATAGGGATCTTGTAACTCGTAGTTGATAGAATTAGCTAGTTTAGCTTTTCATCTTTTATTTTGGTGTAATAAGGAGCTCAGTAAGCAAAAACAGCAGCAACAGTAGTGAAATCACAGTTTTCCGGTAGTCCCAACTACCAAAACTTCTAGAACTACACTGACCTGATTCTTTTATAGCCAAGGATATGCAGACAACCTCCGAAACAAGGTTCGGTCAGATTTTTTCAAAAGATTCTTCTCATGGAGTTTCAAACGGGCAAAAATCGCTTGTAATTGCTCATTTTATCTTTTCCCAAAAAACCCTTCATGTTTTTGAGCAAAGAGGGACAGCTGTGAGCACGTGATTTTTGCCTATATGAATTGCTCCTATAAAATCAAAGAAAATAGATTTTTTCCAAGCATTTGCCATTTTATAGGATTTTGTAGGGTTTTTACCAATTGCTTGCATTTTTGTGCATGTTTAATTTTTATTAAAATCATGAAAAATGTCAAAAATACCATGCATTGCATTTAGGTTTTGTTTTTACATTTTTAGGATTAATTAGTTAATTATTTATTTTATTAAAAAATGAAATCACAAAAATAGCTCATTTTACATTTTTTACCTTATAATTTTTAGATTAGTGATTTTTCTCTTTTAATTTAGGATCAAGTAATTTTTATATTTTTTTTAATTAGATAATTTGTTTAATTTAAGATTTAATTTAGGTTTTTCTTAATTAAAAAAAAAGAGGAAAAGGAAAAGGAAATAAGAAAAAGAAATTAATAAAAAGGTTTAATTGGATATTGGGCTAGTTCTTGTACCCAAATCAAGCCCAAATTTTCCTACCCAGCACAAAAAAACCAAACCGACCCGACTGCCCGACCCATTTTCCCTTCACACTAAATAAACCCTAGACCTAGAACAAAATAAATCCGATCCTTCCCTTGGACAAAGAGAGAAGCGGCGCTCCATCCTAAAGGAGGAGATGAAAAAATCGGACACTCCAATCTAGCCGATCTAGAGCACCGTTTGGGTTTCTTCTTCCTCCGCTCAGCTCACTCAAATGAGAACCCACACACAAGAACAAAACAGTCGCTGCTGCTTCTTCATTTCCCATCCCAGCCCGTTTAGCCGTGAAAAGCTGTTACTTCAGCTCTAAAAACGAGCAGCAACCGAGAGGGACAAAAATTCTCCCCTTTAAACAAACTGCCAGAAATTACCACCCGAACCTAGTTGAAACAGTGTTTGTTTTTTAGTTGAAGATCTGAAAATCAAAAACTACAAATAATAGAAAGAAAACTGGATTTTTTCCTATAAAGGTTTGAAGAAATACGATTTCAAAGATGAATTTCTTCTTCTCTAGATTTTCACAAGCTGTAGAGGTTCAAATTTGTTGATTTATTGTTGCTGATTTTTGGCAGATTCATGATGCTGAGCTCCTCACATTTGACTATGTTTTGTTGCCATCGAGTTCCTAATTATCCGATTTTTTCTCTTGGAATAGATTCGAACTCAAGCTTGTATTTGCTGGCTACATTCTGTTATTATTAAAGGATTTTGCTCAACAGGTTTGTTTTCCACTATTCTATCTTAATTTTCTTATAGTAGGTAGAAGCCTTGGAAGGGCTGTTGAGATTTTGATTTGGCATCTAGTCGTCTGAGTTTACATGTTAGTACATAACAGTACAAGATGGCTACGATTTGAGTTATATTCTGATTTGTTGTGTATTTGAGTTGTTTAATATGCTTTAGTTTGAATGTTTGATGGATGTAATATGCAATGTCCTATTTTTTTGGTTGATGATTTGAGGTTAGCATATAGTTAATCCTCTGTTAGTAAACCAAATTTGCTATGTTTGAGACTAAAATATGTTGGAATATTTGGAACTCATCCTTTGGGTTGACTCAATGTTCTTTCTCTCGACCTTTAGCCCAAAAATAAGATTTTGCCTCTAAAAAATATCCATTTCCATTTACGTGGAACTCCAAGAATGATTTTCTTACCTTATTTTGGTTCTAATAATTACGTATTGAATTGGTAAGATCTTTACTTTGTGTTATGAAATGTTTGTTGAGTTACGGCAAATTTTCCATGTTCTAAACTTTATTTAGTTGAAATCGAAAGCAATAAGTCCTTTGATTTCAAATGTTGAAAGGACAGAATTCGTGAGTTGTTGACCAAGCATAGTAATTCATGGCCTTGCAATAACCTCAAGCTTAAGAAAATCTTAACATCCGCAGTTTGCTTTAGTTGAACACCAACTTTTGAAATAAATGGAGGTGTGCCATCTATTCTTGAATCACCTATGGCCCGTGACAGTTCTGCAATTGCTTCATTCTCCTTGTGATTGTCCATCTGCACTATCACCAATTAACAACCGTTAATCAAAAGTGTTTAAGTTCCTAATTAAAACAATCAGGTAAGTTGTAAGGTAATAATTACTACCAGAAAATTAGGTAAACTGATGAAAGCTTTGTCTTACTGGATTAATTCTCTTTGCTAAATATACATCCTATTTTTTGGGTTTTCTCGCTCGCTGGTGTTTGCCATGTTTGGTTCTTGTATTTCGAACTAAATGCAATGGCCTGCAATGTAAACATCAGATTCTGATGGACGAACTCATGAAGAGCACCACATGCAAGGTACAAAGGAAGCAAACTTTTATATTGTTCTTTTAGATGATGAGTTAGAAATGACAGCTACGTATAAGTTTTATATATAGTGGTACGTACGCAAGAGGTTATCAATGAGAAAAAGAATATAGATTTAGTTCTGACTAATCTTGCGCCATTTGCCTGTTTTGATTAGTCGTGATTTAATATATTATTGTGATGTTGTATACGTTCGGGTAACATAATTACGAATTACATTCTAAAAAAAAAGTAACTCGAGAAATGCGTTCGCACAACTTCAACCAAACTTTCTTAATAATTAATAAAGCGTGATTAGTTGTGGACACGTACACGTGACATAAATTTTGATGCGCCAAATGAGATGAGTACACGTACGCGTAACTTAATTCTTTAATTACGAATAAATCAAGCAATTAAAAGCGGTAAAAGTTAAATGCACATAGGTCTTAAAAATAAGTAATTAAACAATTTGAGCCAAGTATAAATCGCTAATTGACTGTGCTAGAACCACGGTATCCGGGAATGCATAACACCTTCTCTCGGATTAACAGAATTCCTTATCTAGAATTTCTGGTTCGCAGACTTTTATAATAAAGTCAAAATTTCCTCGAATTGGAATTTTTAAAATAAACCGGTGACTTGGGACACCAAAAATAAATTATCCCAAGTGGCGACTCTGAATGTGAATAAATAATCCCATTTCGAATAATGTCATTTTAATTGGAAAAACTCCCATATACCTCTCAGGGTGTAAAAGGAGGCGTGACACAGGGTAACATTCGAGGAGTTGAAAAAGAGGCTAGTCACAACACCCATCATTGTTGCCTCGACTGGGAGCAACCATTCTAACTCATGTGTGACGCCAATGACTATGCAATGGGGGCAGTGTTGGGACAGCGGAAAGACAAGCTAATGCACCCAATTTACTATACCAGTAGAACGTTGAGTGGAGCCCAGCTGAACTACACTATGACTGAAAAGGAGATGCTGGTTGTGGTGTTTGCATTCGACAAGTTCAGATCATACCTGATTGGCTCTAAGGTAATTGTATATACTGATCATGCAGCTCTCCGGTACTTGATTGAGAAGAAGGAGTCCAAACCGCGCATGATTCGTTGGGTGTTGCTGCAAGAGTTCGACTTGGAGATTTGTGACTGTAAGGGCACGAAAAACCAGGTTGCTGATCATCTATTGCGACTTGAAGGAGCTGAACACTCAGTAGAGACAGAGGATATTCTGGAAACCTTTCCAGACGAGTAGCTACTCGCCACAAGCCTTGAGGAAGTGCCATGGTATGCAGACTTTGCAAACTACCTAGCAAGCGGTATAGTTCCCTATGACCAATCTTCTGTGCAAAAGAAAATGTTTTACCGTGACTGCCATATGTATTACTGGGATGAACCTTATCTGTTTAGAATTTTTGTTGATAATATGATTTGGAGGCGTGTCCCTGAGATAGAACAATCTTCTATTTTGCAAGCATTTCATGCATCGACATATGGCAGACATTTTGGAGGATTCAGGACGGAAGCTAAAGTTCTAGAAGTCGGGTTCTACTAGCCAACAGTATTTAAGGATGCACATCGATGGATGAAGAGCTGTGATGAATGTCAGCGAATCGGAAACATTTCTCGTCGCCATGAGATGCCCATGAACCCAATTCAAGAGGTTGAAGCGTTCGATGTATGGGGAATAAACTTCATGGGCCCCTTTGTCAGCTCCTTTGGCAATAAATACATACTTGTTGCTGTAGATTACGTGTCCAAATGGGTGTAAGCTGCAGCACTCTTCACCAATGATGGAAGAGTGGTGGTGGGATTTTTGAATAAGAATATATTCACCCGTTTCTGGATCCCGAGAGCTATTATCAGTGACGGAGGCACTCATTTCTGCAATCGAGCCTTCGAGAAATTGCTAGCAAAGTACGATGTGCACCACAAGGTGACAATCTCGTATCATCCTCAGACTAGTGGATAGGTCAAAGTGTCGAATAGATAGATAAAGAGTGTACTGACCAAGACTGTGAACGCCACAAGAACTGATTGGGCGAAAAAGCTAGATGATGCACTCTGGGCCTACAAAACTGCCTTTAAAAATCCAAATGGTATGTCACCATACAAGTTGGTATTCAGAAAGGCCTGTCACTTACCAGTGGAACTAGAACACAGAGTCTAGTAGGTAATGAAACAACTGAATCTGGACATTAAGGCTGCGGGAACAACTAGAGTCACAGAATTGCATGAGCTCGACGAGTTCCGATATCATGCTTTCGGGAGCACAAGGTTGTACAAGGAGAGAATGAAGAAGTTGCATGACAAGAACATTGTTGAGAGAAATTTCAAGCCTGGAGATATGGTGTTTCTCTATAACTTAAGATTAAGGCTATTTCCGGGTAAACTTAGGTCACGATGGTTTGGACCATTTCGAGTGGTCGCAATGCTCCCTTCAGGTGCCGTAGAGATTGCTTCAGAGAAAGTCTCTCATACATTTAGACTCAATGGGCAAAGATTGAAACTATATGTGGGCATGGATGCATCCACAGAAGTGTCAGTGATTCATCTGACTGAACCTCAGAGGTCGAGCGAGCCTTAAATGCGCTCATTTGAGTCGTGACACGACGTTAAATCAGGCGCTGTGTGGGAGGCAACCCATGATTTCTTTTGTTTTCTTGTCTTTTGTTTGATGTTGTACCAAATGTGTGGGAAACTAACATCCTTATAAAAAAAGGGCTCGTGACCGCGACCACGGCGTGATCGCGGTAAATGACGAGTATTCTGTTTTAGGATTTCTCGATCCACCGCGACCGCGACACGATCGTGGTAAAACAAGATCATTCTGTTTCACGCCCTTCACTCACCGCAGCCGCGGTGTGACCGCGAAACCACTGTCGCCCATGTAAGTCATTTTTTTTTTAAAACAAGATTTTTTTATTTTATTTTCTTTCCCCCTCCTCTTAAACACCCCATTTCACACGCCCACCCTCACTTTCCCCATTATTCCCTCTCTCTACAAACCCTAACCCATTGCTTCTCTCTCTTTCTTCTTCTTCTTCTCTTTAAGACATAACCCCTTCTTCTCTCTCTCTCTCTCACACACACCCCCCTACAAGACTCCATCTTCTATCAATCTCAATTTCTAAAAACCCAGGCATGTCAAACTTCTCCTCTCCCTTCTTGTGTTTCTTTATTTTGCAATTTTTATGTTGGAAGTGTGTAGTATTTATATTTAGATTTTGTTTTGATTTTATTTTTTGCTTTTTGGTGGGTTATGTGAAAAATGTTGTAGATAAAAGTGTGGTTTTGTTGTGTAAATTTCATTGTGGTGGGGTGGAAGGGTGAAGTGCGAATGGTTGATTTGGGGGAAGAATTTATGCTTTCATAGGGCTAGGTGTGTTAGATTAGAAACCATTCTCACAATGTGTTTGTGAAATTGCCCCAATGGAGTTGTAATGACTAATGTGACCATGGTGGTGGTGAAGTCTGAGTAACCACCCAGGGTTCACACAACTCAAACCCTCACTAATAGGAGCCTATGTTTTTGGCAGGTACAATGCATCAATCCAGGAAGAGATGTACCACAGGGTCCTCCGTTAGTGGACCGGGCAGTTCTTCTAGAGCTCGGGGTCAAGCTAGTGCGGAACAATTTGATCGCGCTAGGTTTGTCTCCAAACCAGCTGAGGACAAGTATAACGTCAAGGCATCCAAGAAATTGTTACCTGAAGTACATATTGATCGGCAAGCCTTGCAAGTGGAATGCCCAAGTATCTTTGCAGAGTTGAGGAGGTGTCAGCTGGACATCTTCTTTAATGAACCGGAGGAGGCGAATGTACTTATGGTAAGGGAGTTTTATGCAAACTGGCCGGAGCATGTTGATCGGGTGGTCATAGTACGAAACACCCATATGAATGCGTCCCCTGAAGCCATCCGCCGAGTGTGCCGACTGCCAGTATTCATTGGGGATACAGATTATTACCAGGCTTATCACCACCTAACTATCTAGTGGGCACCGATTCTTGAATCAATATATGTGGCTGACAGGGAACCAATATGGATAAAGCACCGAATTACACTGAAATCCTAGTCTCTCACTTAGGAAGCTAAGTGTTGGCTCACATGTATCAACAACCGTTTGCTGCCCTCCAGCAACACTACCGATGTCAATGGGCCAAGAGTAGCGGCTATCTACTATTTTATGACTCACCATGATTTTGATGTTGCCAAGCTCCTTCATGATGAGATGTTCATTCGCTCCCCAGAAGTACTCAAATGGTTTTACTTCCCCTCTCTGGTTACCAAGCTGTGTCGTGCTGCACGAGTTCCTAAAAATCCCAGAGTAGATGGAAAATTGCCATTGAAAGCCCCATTCCGGGCTAGTAAAATCACAGTTGGGAGAGAACCGGTAGTGGTGGTTAATGATGATGATGATGCTGGTGAGGATGCTGAGGACACTACCGCCCCACCACAGCCAAGTGTTGATGAGGCAGTCCCATCACAGGCCCACTGAAGTACTCGCATGACAGCCCTGGAGCAAGAAATGGCTGGCCTCCGCACTTCGGTCACTGACTTGGGTACTAGAGTTGACAATTTGACTACTCAACATGCTAGGTCGGAGAAAAAGATCATGGAATGGCTCCGAGCACTAGGACGAGTGTGTCACCTCGATCCTAGCACCGTCTCTTATTAGGATTGAGCACAGGGATGTCCCCTTACCTTACTCTGCTTTACATTCTTTGACATAGGGACATGCTAAAACTTTAAGTGTGGGGTGGGGGATGGTTGTTGTTGTATAAATTGTATAAATGTGTATGGAGTTGTTTTTGTTTGGTATTGTTGGTTTATGTTAGTTAACGTCGACTTGGCCCAAAGACGGACGCCTCTCGACGGGTCTCTTGAGGGATTTAAGTCGAAAGAAAAAAAAACAAAAGATTTTCGTTTGTTAGGTAGTGTATCAACTCCCCCTTGGTTTTTCTTTAAACCACGGTTCTTTTCGAAGGATTTCTATTTGAACCGGGTGTAGTTAGTTTTTTTTTCTTTTTCTTTTTAAATTAGGAAGTCTTGGGCGAGAAGCAAAAATGAAAATAGAGATCCTTAACTCTATGGTACCTTGAATAAAGACTGCGTTAGTGTGACACTTAGGCTCTTTAGTTGACTCAAAGAAGTCCTTAAATTGTGTGTTCCTGAATGGCTCAAGTACTTAGAACATAGTGTCTGATGATCCTAACTAAATTGACTCATGTGCCATGTGTGAGTGAGGCTTTAGGTATTTTGTGTTAACATTCAATGCCTAGAACTTTCCCTCTGTGTGTGCAAAGTGAAATGGTAGCCTCATTTGGTCTGGAAAGTGATATAGGCATTTCTTTGCTTAACCTTTCTATGTATGCTTGTTCCCACATAATTGTGTATACCCTAGTCAACCCCGTTGAGCCTGTAAGCCTGTTTTCCTTGGCAACCACATTACAAGCCTAACCCGAGTTTAAATAGCCTATCTTGTTGAACCCTATCACCTCTTAGAAGCACTCAAAGTATAACAGATATAGAAAAAATATAAGGGTGGGGTGGTTGGTTGGGCTGTTAAGTGGAATTAAGGGGACATGAAAAGAAAAAAAAGTGCACTGGTTGATAAACAACAATAGAGGCCACCAGAAAGAGAAGAAAAAAAAAGAGAAGCCTCAAAGTGGTGGAAACTATTTAAAGAAAAAGTGTGCTTAAAGAAAAAAAAGGGTTAACACAATAATGTAATGGTGGAAGGAAGGTGTGACAAAGTTAAGAGCTTAAAAGTACACAATGTAGTGGAGTGCTTAGGGAGGTGTAGTCACTATACCCAGATGTATCCTACCCATCCCGTAGCCAACATTACAACCAAATAAAGTCCTATTTGATTCTAGACCGAATGAGCTCGATTAGTCGAGTATTACAAAACGGGCAAGCCCATGGTGTGTTGTTTGTGGCATAAGAATTTGTTCTGAGGGTGAGTGAAATGTTGTATTTGAATTCCTCAGTGTGTGGTTTGTAAACGATATAAGTTTCTTTTCTAGTGAGTAGGCATATGATTCATGAAGGGAAGGTAAGTCTGGACCTCTGACTGAGAGTAGGAGAGTTGTTTAGGGGTATTGCGTGGCTAGAAAGGAGTCCACTCTTGAGGCGAGGAGGTTGTGCTGAAGTAGTCTATCCATGTGAAATACTCTTGGTATAAGGAGTAGGGAAGTGCCCCAATGATGATTAAGCCTATAGAGTGTGGTTTGTTGCAAGAGGACTAGCAACAGTTTAAGTGTGGGGTGTTGATAGTAGGCGATATAGACGCTATTTACACTCTAAATGTACCATACTTTATTGTTGTTTTAAAGACAAAATGATAACAAAATACTCTAATTGGTGTTCTTTTGCTTCGAAAGAACTAATCCAAGTTAGGAAGAGACTATGGAGTGTTTTGGAGTCAATAATGTGGATATAAGGCCAATCAAGAAGAACCCAAACAAAAATAAGCAAGAATGGGGCAAAGGAGGACTAGACAAGAGGCCACCGCGACCGCGGTCGACCGTGGTTGGAACGCGGTAGGCCAAACGATTGAGGTAGAATAGTTTCATTTCACCGCGGTCACGCCGCGTTCTGCCGCGGTTGACTGTTTAATCGCCCAGAAATTTTGGGACTAAAGTGTAAATGGGGGGAAACTTATCCTAACCCTTTATTAACTCAACAAACTCGCCCAAGCAAAGGTGAAGCTTGCTTTTAGACTGAATTGGAGGCAAGAACAAGTGTGAGAAGAGCAATCAACCATTAGAGTTTTTCAATCTTCTCTTTGTTATCTTTATTTGCACATTATGAATACTTTTGTGGTTTTATCTTGCTTTGCTATGAGTAGCTAAATATTTAGTCTAAGGTTTTGGTGGAACCTGTTGAAGGATGAACTTCGTGTTATGTTAATATAGTTTGCCCGGTTTAATCTCTATTTATTCAACTACGTTCTTGTTGTAGTTAATTGATAGGATCCTCAATTAGCTGTGCCTATTTAGTATGTATTACTTAGGAGAGAATGCATATTTAGGTAATTATTGAACAACACCACTCCCAAAATATATGAGGAATCAATAACCAAGGGTTTAAAGGCGGGATTTGGGATAATGAAGCCTTGGGTGTGATCTAAAGTGAGCTGTAATAAAGGCCAGCTAGCCTAACTCGGGAGAGTGTATATAGTAAATTGTCGTAATTACTCGGGAGAGATTTACGATAGTAAGAGTGCTCATGATCGATAGAGATGATTATGCAAATCTGTATGAAACATAACAGGAAGGGATTCCATAAATAGGGAAAATCACAACCTTAGATCCTTCTCTTAATTGTTTACAACTCAATCATAGTTAGTTCTTAGTTTACTTAATTTCATTCAGTTATAGTTAGTAAAATATCATCAATTGTTATTCAAAATATTTGAGAAGTTGATTACATAGAATTTAGTGAGTCTAACAAGAGTAATTGATAGGTTAATTCCTTGTGGATTTGACTCTGACTAAATACGCAAATTATATTTGCAACGTCCACTTGTCCTATTTTTAAGGCATAGTTGGGTGTGATCAATTGACCATGAAAATGATGCTC